GCCCCTGCCCCCCGTCCCCCCCCCCCCCCCCACACCATGCCTTTTCCGGTGGATTATTTCTTCAGTTTTCCTGTCCTTCACTTTTATATTTTGTTTAGTTGGTTTTCTTCATCCATGTTATCCATCCAAATCATCAGTTTGTGATGATCCAAATCGTCCTTATTTAGGAATGCAGATCTTGTTATAGAACTTTATTTTCTCTAATAAAATAAAAGTACATTTTCATTTGTTAATGTAATCCACCTCTGTGTTGTTCTGCTGGGAGATTAACTTCCCAACAAGTGTATCATTTGTAGCTGTTCTAGTCTTCCCCTTATTTTTCATTGAACATAGTAAGTCTGGTTTTATCTCTTTTTTTTTTTTTTTTTTTCTCCTCATAGAAGTGTTGCTAATCATCATATGTTGGACTAAAAAGCTGTAAATGAACAATAAGGTCTTAGTCATGGGTGGGAATCATTCTTAAGATACTATGCGTTTTTGTATTTTACCATTATCCTAAAACTTAAGTGACATACATGGCAAATCCCTTGTGTGGTCTGTGTTCCTCTATTTCAGAAAGAGGTCATTGGGGATGCCTGTGATTGTCAGTGGTATTAGTCTGAGATTACAAAAAGTGAAACTTCAAACCTTTGGTGCTGGAATGATTCATTGTTACTGTCATTCAGTAAAATGAACATTTAAATTTTAAAATCTCTTCCTGCTCATCACCTTTATTTAATAAAAGATGCTGTTGTAGTAAAGATTCTATAAAGAATTTTATCTCTTAAAAATATATTTTAAAAGAGAATACAGTACAAACTTGATAGTTCGTTAGGCAAAGAAGATACTACTTTACAAGGTTGAACTTCTTACTTATCTTAGATGTTTGTTTGTTTGAGGTAAATGGGAGCACTTAGAACACCGCTAATTAAAATCAACTTTTCTGTCCCTATTGCTTTATAAATGTTTGTTTCACTTCACAGGTAAGCCAGGTACAGATCCCAATTCAGCCGCGTGGGCAGCTTACTATGCTCACTACTATCAGCAACAAGCACAGCCACCGCCTGCAGCCCCTCCTGGTGGACCAGCTACAACCCAAACTAACGGACAAGGTAAAACAGATTTCTTACTGCTGCAGGGACAAGGTCCTTCTTTATTATTGTATTATGTGTTGGTAGCTATTTTTTGCTTTGGGGAAAACCCTTGCTTACTGTTGTCAACGCTGCTTTTAGTGCAATTCCAAACAGATGTTTCCCTGAATGAGATTGCATTATCTGAATTAATAACTTCTACTTACTGCAGGTATAGGTAAAAGTAGAATGAGCCATACTTTTATGAATTGTTACCTGTTTAAACAGTTGCATTACTTTAAATGATTGCTTTAGTTGTACTACTATAACTTTTCTGTCTGAGTAAGGCCTAAACCTAAACTTCCAGTAGCTGTTTTCTGCTGTAAGTGGTACACACTTCCTAAATTCTGAAAGCACAATGAATTTCTGTGATTTCTTTTAGTGTGGTGGGATTTTCATTTATTTTTAATTATTATATGTAATTCAGGAGATCAGCCAAATCCAGCACCAGCAGGGCAGGTTGACTATACGAAGGCGTGGGAAGAGTACTACAAGAAAATGGGTATGTGTGCGCGTTTATCTGTCGTTGCAAAGTTGTTAGAGGAGACTTGCATATCTAATTTCAGATTCTTATAAGATAAAGTGCTGCATCCATCCATCTTTTGAATTCTAGTGCTAGAAGCTCTGAAATTTGAAAACCAACCTTCGTAGGAATTGTAGACTAAGGCACTCTTGGGTATTAGAGATCAGATTTGGAAAAATACCTTGTAGATAAAAATGAGTTGGTATGTGTGAAGCACCTTCACTTGATCCCTGGGAGATAGTACCTTTTAGAGCTTTCCATTTGCATGCTTTTATAAAGTATATTTTTAAGTTTTGGAGTTCAATTTTGGTCTGCTTTCTTATGAAGCTTGTTTCATTGTTTGGCATTTGTGTAACCTAATGCTCTTCACACAGTTATTTTAACTTTGGCTTTATATGGTCATGTTGTTCCAGTGTCATGAGTACATTCCATTTATTTCGTGTCCTTTGCAGTGTTTCAGAACATTTAAATCATAATTTATGTATTGCTGCTAGCTTTTTGAGTATGTTTATTGCTTGAACTAACTTTACAAATGAAATATATCTGCATGCATGTTAACTGTTTTATGACTTACTGAATAAGAAAAGAATGATATGGTCTCCGTGCATTGGTCAAAGGTGCTATTTATCTTTTAAATCAGAATTCCTTGCAGGTCAATATTTTGATCATATTGTCCACCTCCCATAAATATGGGTGGTTTATGTTGGTATACTGAAGGCCAGTGGGTTTTTATATACTTGAGCCTTTTCTGGTATCTGTCTAAGCAGGCACAAAGCATCTGTTTGTTTGTTTGCTTTTCTTCCTTTTTGCCTTCTACCTGCTCCTCCTTTCTATCTTGTTACATTAAGAAGCAGAAGTAGCAGAATAGCAAGTTTTATTCCTGTTTTGAGCATTTAATGGAGTTGATTACAGACCAGATACATTGACTTTATTTGTTGTTTTAGCATAGCAGAAGTGATAAAAATGAAACAGAAAAAAATATTTCAAGAATTATTTCTGACATACGACTGTGAAAATTTCAACACAGAAGAAGTGTGATGGTCTTTTTCATTATTCTCGTCCTTGTTGACAACACTATTTAATGCCTCTGATAGACCAGTTTGCATTCTTGAACACTAAGTATTAGGACTTTTTAAGGATGATTACATTTGTTGATAGGGACTCTGATTTGTCACTCCTGGAAAGAAAAGTCTGGTTATATCAGCCAGTGTTTTCTCAGGTTATGTGCCTGAGATGGAATTTTGAAGATTAAGCCCCCAAAAGAATATGAGCCAAAAAAGAGCAGACAATGAGCAATGTAAGGAGTTGCTCTTAAAATGTAAGATAGGTAAAACCCCAGAGCGCAAATCAGTGAAAAGAGAAAAGCAGTTCTGATCTTAGATTTTCTTCTAGATTAAATTGGGTCCTTCCTGTGGAAGGAGATCTCATGATGTTTGGGCCTTATAACTTGAATATGTCAAGCATGAGAACTTTCTGCTGCTTCAGAATGCTAAAAATTTTGAGATGAAAGATGCGCTTAAAGCGGGGAAGAAGTAAGCATGAAATGCAAAGATTTCCCCATTTAGTTTTAAATCAGCTCTAGGTGGTGCTTTTTCCCTGTCTTAACAGTGTTAAGAAGTAGAAGAGGTGACAAATGGGAAGGAATTCCCAGCAAATTGTTGTGGTCTTCAGGCTCTTGGATGCAATTTGCATTATTTGCATTTTTTTTTTTTTTTTTTTTTGCAATGCTGCAGTGCTCTTCTCATTGCAGAAAGGGAAAGGGAGGAGTTGCAGGACATTCTTCAACAGTATTTGGGACTTTTCTCACTTGTTTGTAAAATAATCTATGCTCTTTCAAAGAGCTGAACTCCCTCAGCTTCCAAAGCCCAAGTAGTTTTATTTTTGCTGCTGAAGAAAACTAGCCTTGGTATTCCATATAGCAAGGTCAGAACCATGTTGGGTGAGTTGCTGTGATACTGCAATTGACACTTGAGATTTTTTTATAAGTAAAATTTTGACTGTTCAGTATGAATGACCCCAGAATGCTAAAGCACTACTAAATAGCCCATCAAAAACACAAAAAATCCTACAACTATAGGTAAAAATGCATGCATTTCTCTTGATTCTAAAATGCTAAAATACTGTTCTCCAGAGTGCCTCCTTTTCAGTGTTTTTTTTTTTTTTTTTTTTCCTGGAAGTATTGCTTCAATACTAAATAAGTTGTTTTTTTAAAAAAAGAAAAAAGAAATTGCTTTCACACAGTCAAACTTAGCGCTTGTGAATCTTGGAGGTGACCCGAACTCTGTGTGTGATGTTCCATAAATTAACAGAAAATGCTTTAAATCTCCCTTCGCTATTAACAGCTAATACGAGCACCGCTTTCAGTTTAACTTTTGAAGATATGTAGATGCTGTTATCCTCAACTGCAGACGTACTATTTTTCTTTCCCCTTACAAGAGTTGAAATAGATTTGCATAATTGGAGCCTACAGAGCTCCCAAAGTTAACAGTTTCCACTAAATACAGGCAGATTTGAGTAAATGATCTGCATGTCATCATAGGAGTTGGTATCTTTAACACTTAATCTTTCTAAAATATGTGAGATTGACACTTTTAATTCAAGACTTCCATAGTAAAATAGTGGAAGTGAAAGGAAAAGCTTTCTACTTGCTAGATTCACCACTCTTGAGTGAGAAATGCAGGAGCTTGTAGACGCATATGGCATTTTCTGTCTTGGGAAGTATTCTGTGTTTCTTGTATTGCCATATTTGTAGTTTATAGTCTTGTTCAATAAGGCCTGGCCGGTAAACGCGGCTGCCGACGAGCACGCGCTGTCTCAGTGCAGTCCTGAGTGCTGAGAGGCAGATTTGTGCAAGCTGCGGAACTGCACACGCAGGCTCAGAATTGCTTGTAGTGCTACATAGGGGAACAGAACAGCTACTTAAATTTTTCCTAAATCTCTTTGAGAAAGGAGTTCAGTAGCCATCCAATTTTCTACATTTGATGTATTACTCAAATTTTAGCTCTACCTTGGATTTAGCTCTTAAATGCTGTGTCATAATGTACAGAAAAAGCCCTAACTTTGTCATAACTTATGTCAGCAGAGCTACACATTTATAAATGGAATTGTGATCTCATCATTCCATAGACTTGCAAAAATTGTGCCCTGGGATAATCGATAATGCTATTAAAGACCATTTTTGTTAAAATTATTGACTGGAAGTGTAAATCCTGCCACATTCATTGTGTGGTTTCAGCTCTTAAGATTTGAGAAAATCTGAATTAGTTCTTCTGTGATAACAGATGCTGTACTATGTAACCCACAAAGTGATGGAGAAGTCTGTTTTTAATCAAATGGTATCTACAGAAAAAGTGAATGGAAAACCTAACTGTAAATTGCAGCTGTGGTTGGAAAATGGAAGATTCTGTTCTGGATGCATTCCGGATAGTACTTTGCCAAATGTTCAGACCCTTTGTTCATAAGTGATTTTAGAGATGATTGGGAAAATGCATGTAAGAATGTGAATAGCTGAATTTTCTGTGTAGAAGGTCATTAAAAATGCTTCCATCTGTTATCTTAAGCAGTTTAGCAGGATATTTTGATACTGATGTTCCTGTGAGGTTCCTCAGTGGGCTTGGGTCTGGATAAGTGCTGACGACTACTCATTTTTCCAAGGTGATGTGGTTTCACTCTAGGATTGAAAACAGCCCTCAGCTCTGCTCAGAAACAGAAGCAAAGCTTTGATTACAGCATCTCAGTATTGCAGTGTCTTTTTTTGGAATGTTAAGTAGCTGCTTATATAGTAGCTTTGTTTTAAACCCTTCTGTCTGGATGTATTCAAGTCTGCAGATGTAGGGCTGTTAATAGTCGTGAGGATCCTTTGCTGTGCTAACTGGCAAAGCAGCTTTGCCGTAAGAATTCACTAAGGAGGTGTTAGTGATTCTGGATTGGATTAAAAGAAGCAAAGATGTCTGGGTCAAGCCTTCCATGGGCAAATAGCACGGCTGAGATTTGAAGTGTTGGCTACAATATTCTTTTGGATACATTAGAGACTGGCATTTCTGTGAAGTTTTTATGTTGCAATTTGATTTTGTTGGAAAGATTATCGATTTTAAGTCTATAGTTGAATGTATGTGTACTATTACCCCTAGAGGCTTTGGAACTTGAGTAAGGTTTGGAAGAAGAAGTTGCAGGACTGTCTTCTATGGTAGAGTGAATCATTAATCAAACGAAACATAATCTGCATTAATCCAGGATTTGCGTTAAGGATGTCAAAATTCTGAGAATTAATAAATTGGCATCTGGTAATTATGAAATACAGCCTGTACAATAAGGGTAAAGTCCTTCTAGAGAGGAGACCAAAAGTGATCTCCCTTGGTGATCTGTATTTTAGTCTAATTGTTTGTTCCAAGTTGGTTAGACCAGCCCACTCAAAGACTTTTGCTCTGCAGCATGATTCAAGAAGGTGGAAACACCTGCACCTTCAGGTTTTCCTTACATGGGAATCACTACATTAAAATAGTGCTTAGACAAAAAAAAGGGTAGTCACAAGATTATTCAAAATCTTAGGAGAGGGGTTACAAAACGCAAGGTAGCCTTTGTCAGCGATGGGATTATTTTCAAGTGTTCTCATGTCTATTGCAGCAAGAATGCTGTACTGTTGAACTGTAATTCCTTGTAGGTCAAGCGGTTCCTGCGCCCGCTGGGGCCCCGCCAGGCGGCCAGCCCGATTACAGCGCGGCCTGGGCCGAGTACTACAGGCAGCAGGCAGCCTACTACGCGCAGACGAGCCCGCAGGGAATGCCGCAGCACCCCCCCGCACCACAGGTACACCCTTGATTCAGTACTTCTTGGCTGGCTTCTGTTTCAGTGATTACGGATATTTTTTGCATGTCTCCTGCTTTGTTACCTTTGGAGTATGCATTTTTTTATTTCCTAGCAAACTAGCTATCAGAATAATTAATAAATGACTTGCTTTACCTGGTAACTTGAGTTCTGTCCATACGTTTGGTGATTTTGTTTTTTTTTCTTTTTTTAAAAGAAAAACTTTCTCCTCCCAGGGTTTTGAAAACCATGCAAGAAGCCACCACCATTTACATTAACCAATTTTTCTTTCTTAAAGGCTTCACTCCTGAGTTAGCTCGGTTTAAAGGATTTTCTTTAACTTTTTGTGTATCTCTTATGTATCTCTTCTGCACAGGGCCAATAATAAGAAGTGGACAATACAGTATTTGCTTCATTGTGTGGGGGAAAAAAACCTTTGTTAAATGTATGGATGCAGACGCCTTGATGAAGATCTTAATTTTGTTTGGTTAAAAAATAGTGTTTTTGAAAATGTACAAAATATCTATCACTACTGATAGGAGGTAATATTTCTGTGTAGAAATGAAAAATGGTTTGTTTTTAGTATTAGTGTAGATGTACACATTCCAGCAAATGTATTTGCAATTATTATGTGGTCAATGCTTTGTGATATAAATGTACTTTTTCAATGTATACTTTATCACTTTTAAAATGCCTGTTTTGTGCTTTACAATAAATAATATGAAACCTCCTGTGTCGGTAAGTTGGATATGTGGGTATGTAAAGAATTATAGGATTGATTTGCAATGCCGAATTAAGGTACCTGTACACAAATGAGGTTTTTTGGTTTTGTTTTTCCCTCCCCCTACTTGAAATCTTGCTGGGTTTAAAAACTTGTCGTTAGCATATTTCTCCCCTCTTGCAGAATAGTTGTAGATGGAAGATCTCTTTCATTCATTGTATTTTGCTGCCTAGCACCAGTAATCTTAATTTTCTTTCTATTTGATTAAAAGCTGCATGTGTTTAAGAAGGTGATCTTTTGGCATACTTCCATTGCATTAACAGTGAAATTTCCTTTTATACATAACCACTATTTGAGACTTGTACAGCTCCTATAATAGTTTATTTTTGTTCTTCATTGAATATTTGACTTCAAAACTGTTCCTGCTAACTATTTTTAAGGATTTTTTCAAACTAGTTATAAATCTTATTTTAAGTGTTTGTGCTTAAGCCTTCAGTTTAAGTAGTTCACTTCACAATTCAGTGCAGAACGGTCAATGTGGTATGCATAGCAGTCTAAAAAAAATTGCATCTGTTCTTGAAACGCTGTTTTGTTTGAGTGTTGGGGAGCAGTTGAGAACTTCCTGCAGAGCAGATAACTTCGGTTTTGTAAATATTCAAGTCCAGTCTTTGAATCAAATGACTTTTTTTTTATATACTTGAACCTTCTTATTGCCCTAATGCTCATACTAAAAATCTGATTCTCTTGAAAGACTATGTTTGCTCTTTGCATATTTATTGGCTCTTTGCATATATTAGACTACATGCAATACAGTCTGTCTTGCCATTGTCTGTTGAAGTGCAGGTTTGATCCAGCCAGTATAGAACTAGCTCTATAGGGGTGAGGAGGACTGTGCTGTGTATCATCCTTGATTGTTCCTTCAAGGAGCATTGCACTGTAAGTACATCAGAATGACAAATTGATGAACTGCAACAGTATCTTTTTGTCAATGTTCCACATAATGAAAATGCCATACTTGTGTGAATATTATGTTGGAATACAGTGCTGGTTATCTTAGAACTCATAATTGCTTCTTAATTCAGAAACATAGGTGTGCCATATATACATATGTATATATTTACACACATAATGTGAGCTTTGTGGGTAAGTATTCTTGAAACGTTTAGCAATAGCTAAAGAAAATCATGTTTCTGTTTATCTGAGTAATAGTCTTTTGTTCATTAGGACACCTGAGACAGAGCTGTAATACTCAGTTTGTTTAAGTATGTGTATGGTTACATTGAAGTCTCTTGGAACCACTTGTCAGACAGGACTTGTTTGTCTTCAGTTAGTTTGCAGATGTGTAGTGCTGTAGGCATGTTTTTTAAAAATAACTTTCTAACTGTTACTTGCTTTACCTTTTGGAATATCATTTTGTTGCTTTGAGAATTAACTTTTTTTTAGTGTGGCTACACAGAGAACAAAAAGTTAAGGTTGAAAATTTAAAGTAGTTTTATCCAGGTAATTAGCAATGTATGTATTGTGCTGTAGATGTAGAAAGAAGGAATTATTTTTATCCCTTTTAAAATTAGAAATTATTCTGGTAGTTCTAAACAAGGCTAGAATGGTATTTGCTATCTTGAGTATAGGGTATGAAGTTTAATAGTTCAGATATTTTGCATGGTATTCTGTAGATAATCTTGTAGAATGGTGCATATATTATGTACTAAACTGAGCAGAATTTAAATTCATTGGATTCTTTATCATTCACGAAATGGAGGCTGTTGATTTTGATTCATTTAAAGTATAAAATCTTATTAATTGCAAACAGTGCAATTATTTATACTTCACAGTGCCTTCCCAGACCTTCCACCTTAGGTTCTGCTGCAAAAAAGCAACAGGTAAGCACAACCTAAGGAAGTATATAAATTAATATATTTCAGTACATTAATGTTGTCCCTGTGAGATCTTTGTGGTTGTGTATTGAAAAGCAATCAGCTGCTTTCCCCAAATGCATTGTTACTCACGGTTCCATTTCAGTGGAAAGTCTTAAGTTTTTAAACAACTGTTGATATTTCTAGGTAAATATGTATCTTTTTTAGAAAAGTTGAGTAGGTTGAAGTAATTAAACTTAATCAAAATAAGTGATTTTTTGTTACTTTTTTCTCAAATAGCTACTTGTTGCAATTAAAGAATCAAAAAAGTTAAAAATATGTAGGAATTACGTTGGTTAGAAACGTCAACAGCCTTCAGAAATGTTTTCTTATATAGTAGGGCACTATTCCCTGTCAGCAAGTAAGGCCTAAGTATAGAGAATATAACTCATTATCACTGAACTTGATGACTTGTCTTACAGTTATAGTGTGTTAGTGGAATCTTTAGATAATTTTGTTTGTTTATTCATACTTGGTAGGAAAATAGATTCTAGAAGTTTGCAGATTAGTATGTTTTATTTGAAAAAGCATGTGCACCAATTAAATGTTAACAGTACAGCAAGTAATATTTTAATATCTATATAGCAGTCAGCATTTCCTGTTTCTTGATATTTTTAACTGAATTGCTGTATATTTTGCCAGTTTAAAAGTGTTTGTATGTCTTATAGATGGTCTGGTACAGTTTTTTATTTTTAGCTTAAAGTAAAGCAGCATCTATTCAATCTTTCTGTTGATTATTCTGTTTCATAGAATATGCTGCTTCTCTTTCAAAAAAAGTCCTGCTTTTATGTACATGAAAGAAAAATATTCAAAAATACTGCCTTCATTTTCACACACAGTGCTGAAGATGCTGCAAGCACCAAATCATAGCTCATAGAATCAGGTCCTGAGATAGTTACTGCCAGTAAGAGGAATCCCTTGAGTGTTTGCCATTGGTGAGCCGATGAGCATGGACCATAGAAGGGCTCCATGTGGAAGGTAAAATTGGCAAAAACATAACAGATTTGAAATGTATCCCATACATACTGGTGTAGGGTATAATTTTTGTTTTGATCACTTTTCATTCTTTAAAGTACTATTTGTTTGACCATAAATGTTCCATAATCTGTTAAGCTTTTTTAACTGTGATTTAATAATATAAACCATCTATTCTAATTTATATTCTTCTAAACAGTTAAGCTCGATATATTGAATTTTTGAAGTACTTCAGTTTCTCGAGCCACTTCATACTTGATGATTTGTAGCTTAATATATCATTCAGATTGATTTTTGACAAGTTAGGCGTGTACCATTTGGATTTTGATACTGTGAATTTAGTGTTGGGGTGAGTCATTTGTTCATTTATTTTTTTACATGCTGCCTTTTCTACAACTGTTGTTCCTAAAATATCTTAACAGCCTTTTACTTGTAAATTTAGCCAGTGGGAGGAAATAGAGAAGCAAAAGCCAGTTTGCTAGAATACTGTGAGTGTGTAGAAGGCTTGAGATGAGCTTAGCATTTGAGGTAGACCAACTTCCAGGCTGCTCACTGCGGGGGCTCCAGGCATGCTGCTTTGTACTGAGCATAGTGTTTGTTTTTTCTACTCTGTCCCCAAACTCTCAGCTCTTGGGAGAACAGAAAATGTTACTGGAGCTCTCCTGATTCAGTAAGAAAAAATGGACTTTCTTGGAAGTGTAATGATCTTGCCCAGAGGTGTCTCTAAACTTTTCCTGTTTTTTCTTCCCTTGAGTCCCACAAATAGTAGAATGCGAAGAGTACAAAACTTTAAAAGGGAAGCATAATGTTCAAAGTAGGAAACATGTTTTTCATGCCAGTTCCTGCATCATATGCTTTAAGACAGGACATGAAATAAAATGCCAGGTGGATAATCTTTTATCTAGCATGATCATATGCCATGTATTTGAAGTTGTTCAGGCAGACAATATCATTATTCACTGCACAGTCTCTCTTCAAATATCTCATCTTTTTACTAGCGCTTTGTTGGATTGGATGATAGAAACTGTTTCTCCTCTATTCCCTACAAAAGTAGCATCTAAGTTTTTCATTGCATGCGTGCTAAAAGCTTTTTATTTTGCTTTTTTTTCTGGACATAGTGGGAGGAAGGGGGATCTGAGCCTTTCAGAAAGGATAAAACTGACAGGATTCCCTCTTCCCTAGTAATATCTTATAAAAATCTTATGTCTGCACAAATATTTCTCTTGCGTGCATGTGCAATGCATTTTCGTCCTGAGAAAAGTGTTCTCTGCAGAAACTACCGGTGTGTAAAAAGAAGATTGGCTTTAAAAGGCAACTGTGATGGGAACAGTGTCTTAGGGAGATGCAGCTTGGACTTGAGGTAAATTGAATGCTTTACGAAAATGTGGTTTTGAGCTTGCGTTGGTATTGTATGTAATATGGGTACACGTTAACTGTATAATGTTTTTTTGTATGGTTTTTCTCAATAAATGTAAACCAATGGATAATAATAGCAATGCTTTTGTCTCTTTTATGCTCCTACCCCTGCCCTCACTAACTTGAAATTGCAGCTTCAGAAAAACTGAATATAGCAGCAATTAATGTTTTGTGAGATGAACATCACCCACATGAAGTTAAACATATTCTTAATACTGCTATTAAAAATATTCACTCAAATAGCATACAGCTTATCAGGGAGTTTTTTCAGGATGTTTCAGAATCTGCAACTACTTTATTGAGGCAAAAGAAAAAATACATACGGTAACTTTGTACAAGGAGCAGTCAGCAGACTGAGTTATGTAAAACCTCTTAAATCATTTTTTGGAGTGAGTGTGTATTATCTGCAACTTCCCCTGGCTCATGTTAATGCTCTACATCTGTTCTTCAGTTCAAAATTTTGATAGTTTTTAGTAAAAAGTCTGACAGAAGCCTATGCTGAACCATTTAGATACTAGGCATGATGGTATTAGAACTTGGAGAAAAATAGTATTGCGAGCTTGGACAGACAGAGTTTGGAGATGCAGCAATAAATATACTGCCACGAGAGAGAGGAAGGTTGAAACACTAGGCTTTTGTTTGTTTATTTGTTTTTAGTAGTTTTAGTTTGAAACTTACTATTAAATTTGCTATGATTGGCCTATACTGTGTAGC